ACCTGTATCACATTATACTGGCATCTACTTACCTGTCTCAACTGCTGCAACTCTGCATGATCCTGTAAGCAACCTGTATTACATTATACTGGAATCTACTTACCTGTCTCAACTGCTGCAACTCTGCATGATCCTGTAAGCAACCTGTATTACATTATACTGGAATCTACTTACCTGTATCAACTCCTGCAACTCTGCATGATCCTGTAAGCAACCTGTATTACATTATACTGGCATCTACTTACCTGTCTCAACTGCTGCAGCACTGCATGATCCTGTAAACAACCTGTATCACATTATATTGGAATCTACTTACCTGTCTCAACTGCTGCAACTCTGCATGATCCTGTAAGCAACCTGTATTACATTATACTGGAATCTACTTACCTGTCTCAACTGCTGCAACTCTGCATGATCCTGTAAGCAACCTGTATCACATTATACTGGAATCTACTTACCTGTATCAACTCCTGCAACTCTGCATGATCCTGTAAGCAACCTGTATTACATTATACTGGAATCTACTTACCTGTCTATACTGCTGCAACACTGCATGAACCTGTAAGCAACCTGTATTACATTATACTGGAATCTACTTACCTGTCTCAACCGCTACAACACTGCATGATCCTGTAAGCAACCTGTATAACATTATACTGGAATGTACTTACTTTATGTTAGGGTTAATCCAGCCTCTAGTGGCTGTCTCATTGACAGCCGCTAGAGGGCTTCCGCGTTTCTCACTGTGAAATGTCATTCAACATTCGGGAATGACCTATTCGTTTCTGCGAGGATAATGGAACACTTATGCAAATCCCGAAACAGGTTACACAACATACAATGTACACAGATTACAGTACAATATAGGCTACAAAAGCATGGTGTTCGTAAGCATTCGTTGTACAAGGAGTGAGTACTGGTGTTTCATACAATACCATGATGTGGTGTGGTAGTCCAGACCTTCTTGGCTATGAATACCTCCCCAAGGTGTACTATGAATCAAGGGTACTCTGCCAGTGAGGGTAGTTAATATTGAGTCTAAGTAAGGTGTAGTATGTTAACCTAAATTGAAGTTGGGGGAAGTAACCAGAGAGGGGGTAGGGTAGGGAGTGGGAGGATAACTTGTGTAGCCTAGGTATGATCTTAGAGAGTCGAGACAGCAAAGTGGTAGATGAACACTGATGTCCCACAATGGGCTCTGTAGGCTGCATGGTCTTTGGTATCAGTGGTATCAAGATGGTGAACCATGGTTTTCTGTTTTTAAGGATTCTTATTTTTACTTGGTCTAGATTTCCAGCAATCCCAATTTTTGATAAAGGTAACTGTAGCAAACTCACCCCTTTAAGAGAGTTTGGATGGGCTTGCTTGCCCGCCTCCTGCCATGTGACTATGGCCCTGGGGGTATTGCCCTTTAAAGACAGTATTTGGGCATGATGGATTTTTATTATGCGGCTACTGGCCCTTTAAGCACAGTGTATGGACATCTATTAACCCCTGATCTGACCTGGGTGATTATTGGATATGTTATTCACCCAGATCAGCGCTATCAGGGGATACCACATTTAGGGGTGTAGCCTATGTATTTGGGGTAAATATAGAACTTGGGGTAAAATATGTACATTTTAATTCTGTTAACAGATAAGCTGATGGGAGGAGATGTGTGGGTTGTACCTTGTACTTTATTGGTTAATGTACTAATTATGACGAAGGGCCCTTCGCCACTTGGTCCTGGAGAGGCCTGCTTGCCAGCCTCCTCCCCTGTGACTATGACTCTTTCATGTATCTGGCTTTAAAGCCCCTAGTCTACCTTCAGACAGACTATTTATGTAGGCTGCTTTATTTATCTTATGTTTTAGTCACCCTGTACCCATTATAGGTGCAGGGTGTGTGTAATGTAATTGTTTATAGTGTGTGTGTACTGTGTAATGTATTGCCTGTTCTCTTGTATTCAGGCCGGCGCTACCTGTAAGGCGGACTAGGCAGCCGCCTAGGGCGCCCCTTGGGAGGGGGCGCCGCCAGGAGCGCCGGCCCTCCTAATGCTGCAGCCGCCCGAGCGCTCTGTAAAGAGCCTCAGGCGGCTGCAGCTTTGCCCGGGCGGTGCGTCCATGAGGGCGGACCGCACCGCCCGGGCGCAGCCTGAGGAGAGGCTGACAGGAGGGAAGCTCGGCGCTCCCCACCTGTCAGCGCTCCCTCTAGCGTGGCGGAAGCCCTCTATGGCATGAAGGCCGACGGTACCAGGGGAGCAGCTGTCTCTTGCCGGCGGGACTGGCGATGAGCTGCGGGTGTTCACTTCCTTTGAGTCGGCAGGTACAGCTAAAACTTTAACCTGTACCAGCCGGTTAATAGAGGAGTTCGACCCGCGATTAATAGAGGCCAGAGGGTGGGGAATAAATGGACGGGGAATAAATGGACAGGGATGGGAGGGAGGGGGAGGAATAAATGGACAGCGGGGAGGAATAAATGGACGGGGAGGGAGGGGGAGAATAAATGGACCTTACTTGGGGAGGGAGGGAGGAATAAATGAACAGGGAGGGAGGGAATAATGGGCGAGGAGAATAAATGGACAGGAGGGGGAGGAATAAATGGACAGGGAGGGGGGGAATAAATGGACAGTGGGGGGGGGATAAATGGATAGGCAGGGTGGGGGGATAAATGGACAGGCAGGGTGGGGGGAATAAATTGACAAGGTGGGGGGGGAGAAATTGACAGGGAGGGGAATTGACGGGGTTAGGAGGGGGAATGAGAGTGGGGAGGGGAGAAGAGAGTTACAACGGGGGAGACGAGAGTGACAAGGGAGGGGGAGAAGAGAGGGACACGCAGGGGAGAAGAGAGTGACAAGGGAGGGGGAAGAAGAGAGGGACAAGAGGGGGGAGAAGAGAGGGACAAGAGGGGGGAGAAGAGAGGGACAAGGGGGGGAGAAGAGAGAGACAAGGGGGGGAGAGAAGAGAGTGACGAGGGAGGGAGAGGGGGAGAAGAGAGGGACAAGGGAGGGGGGAGAGATTGACATCCATCACACACACACAATGCACCCCTTGCACACAGAAAAACACACAATGCATTACACACACACACACACAAGCAATTCAACCCTTACACACAATGCATCCCTTACACACACAGAAACACAATGCATTCCTTACACACACTCAATGCACCCCTTACAGACACACACACTGCATCCCGTACATACATTGAAACACACATTGCAGCCCTTACACATACAAACACAGATTCACACAATGCATTCCTTACACACATATCAGGACATCCCCTACTCCTGTGAACAAAATAATTGGTGGAACATGAAGGTGGACCCTGGGGCCCAGACCTTGAGCTGTGTAAAGGGCCCCCAAAAAATGGAGCTGCTTCCCGTTCTCCCAGAACACAAACAGCCTCCAGAGAGCCTGTTCTACACCAGATGAGTGGAGCCAGACTGCAGCTAGAGCCCATCACCACCCTCATCTGATTGTAAGTAGGCAATCTAGTATATTATTCGTGGCACTAATCTCTAATTTACCTCACATTAAAGGGACACTTTAGTCCCCAGAACCACTGCAGCTTAATGTAGTGGTTCTGGTGTCTATAGCCTGTCCCTGCAGGCCTTTTAATGTAAACACGGCGGCACTGCAGCACTTGCGTTAGTTAAAATGGGGCATTGTGATGTCATATGGGGGGGGGGGGCGGCAAACTTTACTTTTGCCTAGGGCGGCAAAAATCCTTGCACCGGCCCTGCTTGTATTGCTGAGGTTTGCTACCAACTAGGTGGGTTTGGCTATGGAGCTGGTCTAGTGCCCTCTGTTGGTAGCAGCAGCAATATGCACTACCTGAATTGCAAGACTGGTTCATTTGCATATTCGGGTAGATTTGCATATTGCTAATTCTGCAGGCAGGTGAGATATTTAGTAGATATTGGTGCGGTGTAAGTGACAAGGACCTACACCTATAAGTGGAGCGCTCAAACACAGATAAATCTTACCAAAACGTAGTCTCATTCAATGGTAAAATATGGGGTACATGTCAACATAAAATACAAAAAATACAATATAGTGTAGACGGTACTAAAAAATGGCTTCACAGTGATTATAATAATATTGTGTTGAATATTACACTCACATTTCAAGGAGCCTGTATATAGAAAACACTGGCTCCGTATAAAGGCTTGTGTGCTGTTATGGTAGCAGCTGTTAAATATTGTCTCCCTCCACCCCTTTAAAAATGTGCCATTGTGTTGTGATAAGTCACTGTGTGTTTCTTGATATGGTTTGACTGTTTGTGATTTTATTGAGTTGTAACTTTTATGTGTTTTTAAGGTACTTTTGGAGGTTTCATAAAATTGTATGTTTTTCTGTGCTTGGAGATAATTGAACTTTGTGTCCCTGTGCCCAACAAGGTCCACCTTGTTGGGAAACGTGCATAAAAGGCCAGTGTGCCTCCATTAAAATTCTGTTCCTGATTACCTTCAACATAGAGTCTCATCTCATGTGTGGGGGAAACGGCTGTATCTATCCTGGGGATTGCTATATCACTATACTCACCAGGAATTATGATCACTAGCTCTTATAAGAGCTGTTCCCTGTTACACTCTCTGGGAGTAGGAGAGGTCTGCCCAATGGAAGCTGGATCCTGGTCTTGGGTGGGTGAAGGATGGTGAGACCCTGGTGCAGCTGCATAGCTGGAAGTGGGGTCTGCAGTGCTTATGGTGTCTTGTGGAGTGCTGGAATTCCTCGGTGAGCACTAGGAGCATCGATTGGCGGAGGCACTTGGTCGGAGTGCCAGACGGTCCGTCATAAGCGTCAAGTGCCACTACCTTCCCATTATGTTTGTCAGAAGATGCCCAGTCTATTAAATTAATAAAGTGTCTGGTATTGTCACCAACCTGCCTACTGGGAACAAAACCTGCCTGCTCCGCATAGACCAACTCAGAAAGATATGGTCTGAGCTAGCAGTTTGGCATAAAGCTTAATATTAGTGTTCAACAATGAGATTTGGCGGAGATTGGGAGTACAACTGATTTTAATGAGCCAAACTGCCTTTTATGCACAGACTCCAGCATGGGGTCTCCATTATATTCAACACAAGTCCCTCCCAGGAATCTCTGGACCTGGGAGATAATTGAGTTAAAGACCGGTAAACTAATTATCACCCAGGAGCAGGGAGTACAACAGAAAATATAAAAACATAAAAGTACCCCAAAACATAATAAAAACATACAATACCCCACATATTCTCCAAGTTCTCCAAATAGCACTCAGTGTAGGGGAAACACCATTTTGTTAAAGTTCTGACTGGCTGCACACATGGTCCAATGCCCAAAATAGTTCCAGGGCGCTTGGTGCTTTGGCCGGTCAGCTTTCTCGAGCTCCTGCATCCAAACTACAGGGTGCTCCACCTGACTCACAGGTAGCGTTTGTTCCCCTTAGTCTCAGGCATCTTCCCTCCAAAAAGTGCTCCCTTGGCGGGTTGCAAAGTGGTTCAAAACCCAGGACCAAGTTGTTTGGGAACCACACAGTCACCTCATGCCAAAAACAGTCCTATAACATTTGTGGCGAACTACCGCTGAGGTGACCGGGGACCCATAAAGTCCTCATGCCGAAATTAGTTCCATAGTGGTCGTGACAAGTACCGCTCAGGACCATTCGTGGGTTTGGTTCATGCGAACAGCCGCCGGGGATCTAGAGTTTGTTTCATTCAAATTAAGTGAAAGTGTCGAACCAGGGGTACCCAGTGAGAGTTGCTAATAGCGACTGGGCAGGTTAACTCCCAAACGGTGTCTCAGACCTGGACCATAGTCGGTGGGCAAGAGACCGGCTTCCATACCCCTCTAGGAGTTCGTGGGAAGGAGCATGTGTCACTACGCCCATCATTCATTCTGTTATGCAGAATAATGCTCCTCTTATCTCCCGTGATTGTGTTGGGAGCAGAAAGGAAGGTAGTGGTGGAGTTATCAAATTCAGTAACTCAATATGAATTGTTAAAGCAGCTCTGTTACTTCTCACTATTTCATAAAAATATAATCTTTATGAAATACTGGTGCTGACCATATTGGATATTCAATAAAATTCCGACATAATCCAAAGATAACAAAAGACAAATTAGAGTCAACAGTGTCTTATGGTATACCTGACGTTAACAAAAGGCTGTCCAATATCAGCAGACGTTACAAGTGACCACTGTGGGTTTCATTTATGGTCTCACTCATTGCAAGACGTCGTCTGTGGAGGCTCTTGCAGTCTTGCGGGACCCTCCATAGAGGAGAGTAAATGAAGCACCGGGAGCAGAAGCAGACCTGAAGGAAGAAGATGGCAGTAGCTGCAACGAAAAGCTTAAGGTAAGTAAAACCTACCTTCCAGTATGTTCAGTTATGTTTTCCTGGCACTATAGTGGTCCTTTAATTCCTTCTTTCAAGTAAATTGTTAGGTCTAAAAAGACAAAGTTTCAACCAATAACCCTGGCAACCATCTCCTCTCTGACTTGCTCAGGAACATGACCGAGGCAGTGTTTTATACCTGGCTAATTAGCGATATACTTCAGGTGGACCGAGAATGATAGGAACAGCCACAGGAAAAGTCTAGTCCCCCATGCTGGAGACAAGACAATGATAAACATCAGGCTGAACCTAGAACTGAAGTGTGGCTCAGAGGCAAAACAGCAGGCCCACGATACAGTAAGATCCAGGTTCATGTCCCCTGTTGGGCCCTTCTGTGGAGACTATGTCTGGCTGTCTGGGGTGAGAGCCGTGACACTGGATAAATGCTGTTTTTTTTGCCCCTCAGATATTGTATTAAAAGTGAATCCTGCATCTAAGGAGCTCCAAGTGGTGTTACATTTTGGAAGCTCCCTTAGTTTACCCCAGGCTTGCTTTGAAAACTACTTGGTCTGGTCTTGGTTAGTGATGTCGCGAACCCGAAATTTTCGGTTCGCGAACGGCGAACGCGAACTTCCGCAAGTGTTCGCGAACCGGCGAACCGCCCGAAACGCCATTGACTTCAATGGGGAGGCGAATTTTAAAACACACAGGGACTCTTTCTGGCCATAATAGGGATGGAAAAGTTGTTTCAAGGGGACTAACACCTGGACTGTGGCATGCCGGAGGGGGATCCATGGCAAAACTCCCATGGAAAATTACACAGTTGATACAGAGTCTGGTTTTAATCCATAAAGGGCAGAAATCACCTAACATTCCTAAATTACAATCAATATGGATTGACACCTGACATATGACATATTGACACCTTGACATATGGATTAACACCTGTCCTCAGAGCCCCTGATGCACACGGACACAGAGCAGAATAGAGACTGGTCCCCTACATAGGGTCACTTGGCAAATATGGATTGACACCTGTCCTCAGAGACCATGATACACACTGACACAGAGCAGAATAGGGACTGTTCCCCCTACATCGGGTCACTTGGCAGATATGGATTGACACCTGTCCTAAGGTTCCCTGGTACACACTGACACAGAGCAGAATAGGGACTGGTCCCCCTACATCGTGTCACTTGGCAGATATGGATTGACACCTTGTTACAAACTGCTATTTGTAACGGGCCCTTTAAATGGCAAATTGCCCTGCTTCCCTGGGTTGTGGAGAAGCCTATTTGCCAGCCTCCTCCCGCATGACTATGGCCCTGGGAGATTGTGAAAATGTATGCACTTTTATTTGGTGTGTATGGCCCTTTAAGACTGTCGATGGGCATATTGGGGCTTATGGACTCTTTATGTGACTGGTGCTGGCCCTTTAAACACCTTTTTTGGGACATCAGGAAGATTGGGACACTGCCCCTTTAAGGCCATGTCCCCAGACTTGTTGGGGACACAGCCCCTTTAAGACGGTGTCCCCTGTGTCCCCAGACCTGGTGCAAACCCTTTGTGCCTGCCTGGCTATTTCCCACTTGGTTCAGTAAATGGGAAATTATTTCAGCTGCAGAGACTAAGTCCCATTCGGCGATGGGACTTAGTCTTTTTTTCAGCCGTTTTTTTCAGCCTTATTTCAGCTGCAGAGACTAAGTCCCATTCGGCTATGGGACTTAGTCTTTTTTTCAGCCGTTTTTTTCAGCCTTATTTCAGCTGCAGAGACTAAGTCCCATTCGGCGATGGGACTTAGTCTTTTTTCAGCCGTTTTTTTCAGCCTTATTTCAGCTGCAGAGACTAAGTCCCATTCGGCGATGGGACTTAGTCTTTTTTTCAGCCGTTTTTTTCAGCCTTATTTCAGCTGCAGAGACTAAGTCCCATTCGCGATGGGACTTAGTCGTTTTTCAGCCTGAAATAGACCGACCTCACAGCCCAAATCTATGGAACTGTTTTGGGCAGGAAAATGTGCTTGCGGTCGGTCATAAAGGGACCTCCAGCTAACTTTTTAACCCCTGGATGGATTTGGCTGATTTTTGGTTATGTTTATGTTTTAAGTGTGCTGATTCCAAATATGTAATTATGAAGATGGGATGTGTAGTTTTAAAGTTACAGTGTATGGCTAAAAACTGTATTTTTACTGCCTGTGTTTAATTATGTTAATCTCTTCCCAAACGTCATTTCGTTCAAAGTGGAGAGAATGTTAAAAAAATATATTTTTGTTCGGAGTGTGAGAAATGCTTTTCAGCCGCTTCTAATCTTAAGCATCATTTGAGGAGCCATACAGGAGAGAAACCTTATTTGTGGTGTGTTTAGTATTGTTCTGATCAGTTTAATACCTTTCGCGTCTCCTATCAGTGGACGTGTATATGGCAGCCATTTTAGGAACCGTACACCTGGGACCCGAGCAAGGTCACCTCGTTCAACAGGCTTGCAGCGTATCCTCCAGGAAGAAGAGCCTGAACCCTTACCGGCTGCACGTGTCTTACCTGTACATGGAAAGCTGCTCTGGTTCCTTGATGAGCCAGCTGCCCGTGAGTTAACATGTCCCGTGGAGAAGCACTCTGTCCTGTAAAGCCTCACCAAAAAAAAGGAGTGGTGTGTTTAGTATTGTTCTGATCAGTTTAATACCTTCCGCGTCTCCTATCAGTGGACGTGTACACGGATTTTTATCTAAGCCGTAAACTTTTGCACAGCGAAGTATATTCACTGCCATTGAAAAGGAGTGCATGGCGGTGGTGTGGGCCCTCAAAAAGCTGCAACCTACTTGTATGGACAACCGTTTACCTTACTCACAGATCACATTAAATTTGGTGCACTGCGCGGTCAAGCTAATGTGACACCAGATAGTAGTGGTGTGTTTAGTACTATTTTTATCAGTTTAATACCTTCCGCGTCTCCTATCAGTGGACGTGTACACGGCATTGATTTTTGTAACAGGGAGATGGAAGAAGAGGCTTGGTCGGTCCTCTTACTGCAAATTTGGGGCACTGCGCGGTCAAGCTAATGTGACACCAGATAGGAGTGGTGTGTTTAGTACTATTTTTATCAGTTTAATACCTTCCGTCTCCTATCAGTGGACGTGTACACGGCATTGATTTTTGTAACAGGGAGATGGAAGAAGAGGCTTGGTCGGGTCCTCTTACTGCAAATTTGGGGCACTGCGCGGTCAAGCTAATGTGCCACCAGATAGGCGTGGTGTGTTTAGCATTGTTCTGATCAGTTTAATACCTTCCACGTCTCCTATCAGTGGTCGTGTACACGGCATTGATTTTTGTAACAGGGAGATGGAAGAAGAGGCTTA